AACTCCAATCATCTCAGAGCCGGGCTTTTCTTTGAATACCTACTTTGCTCGAGTGCTTTGTAATTATTCGCAGATTATAACGATCGGGAAAAAAAGTAATTAATTCTTGTATCCTGTAAGACTGGAAAGGTAGATTGCTTCACGGGAGCGTAGAAATCTTTGTTCACCTCCACACAACACTGCTCGGATGATACATTTGGCAAAGCCCACAGGGACAAGTCTGTTGCAGCAGGAAAGACTAGATGTCTGATTTTGCTTTGCTAGTGGGGCCAGTGGTGTGTCCCTCCTACTCTGACACCATTTTATCCACAGGCGCTGACACTGTATTCCTGGCAAATTACATAACATCCTAACTAGGAAATGGAGCTGTATCCCAGCCTGCACCATGTGCTCCTTTCATTACATGTCACTTCATTATGCTTTGAGACATCTCAACGATGTGGTGGGAGATTTTTTTTCAAAGATCCTGGAGGATTTGGGCCGTTGTGTCCCTTCAAAGTGGTGCGACCTTAAGTTTGTAAGTTAAATCGTCACTACATTAACTGAGCAAGATCTGCAGTGAATCAGAGCTGGCTGGAATAACTCCAGCATCCAATGCCAAGGAAAAGGAGGAATGATTTTCACCTGCTCAAGGTAGGTTTTCCTCATTTTTTTTGACTGAGGAAGCTGATCTCAACACCTTCCGCTTTGACCATGTCTTCGGCCAACCCTCCCCCTTCCCCTATCATCCACTCTCCTGATTCCAACCCCCAGGTGGGGTGTATACCCCTAACTGTCTTGCACCTTGGGATGTCCTTCTGACGTGAAAAGCGCTATATAAATGTAATTTTGCTGTAGTTGGTGTAGACTGGAAGTGAAAAATATTCCTCATTCTATCTTGGACGCATTTCTCCTAATCCAACCGTTAAACGTGCCATGACTGACTGATTGCCCCACCATCGCCGTGCCTCAGTTTACCACAGTCACTCAGCTTTCTGCCCTCATTTTAGCTCTAGGATGTGACATTATCACAGACCAGGTACGCTGCATATTTATCTAATTACTGTTTTCACTCCAACGTTAACCTGTATCATTAATTACTGGATTAATCTCAAAGTGGGTGATTGTAAAAGCCCTCCGTAAAACGAAATGTTATTTGTAGCTGGCTTCTGCAAGGAAATAATGCTGAATAAAGGTCTAATCAGAGGACAAAAGTCATACGGTATTCAAACAATATATTGGCTGGATGAATAAGAAGTCTGAAGGCTAATAAATTCTGCTTCTACAAAATGCTTTGTTCAGTTGATCAGGATACAAGGATTCTAATAACACAAAACAAAAAGAATCTCAAAAGATAGCAATACCTTTGAAATGTTTCACCCTCGTCAGTTCCCCAAATAAGCCAGTATTACCTCAATTTTCTGGCAACCCCATCTCTTATTTCTGCTTACCCCTGATAACATGGCGACTGAAATGAGATGAATGCAATGCGTTGTCAAGCCTGACTTGTCAATTTGCATATGATAGTAGCTAAAAATTGCTAATCTTTAAAGCAAGCTTGCATTCCTCAGACCTTAGATAAAAGTGTTATGCACGCTGCATATGGCAGCTACAAAATGCCAGCTGTTTGGTGTACCACAAGATTTCTAAACCACACACAAGAATAAAAGGCTTCTGTTTAAATGTCAAAATGTTGCTCTCGTTCTAAATCCCCAAACTATAGAATAAATCAAAATATTCATAGCAAAGTCATTGTAAAGGTAGCTATGATCTATACAACGGGTATAGTGCTCGAAAATATGTTCAAAAATATACAATGTATATCTGGAGGTTTGGGAGCAACAAAATATATGTAATTGATAATTGTTTTTGGTAAATGATCGAGTGTCAGATTATCCACAAGCATTAGGCACACGCTGGAATATACAAAGAGTGTGTAATAATTTATAAAAGGCGAAGACAGAAAGAGGAGCACAAAATAAACCAATCAAGAACAACGAGAAACAGAACAAAGAGGTAGTTGGACAGCAATGAATGAATGAATGAATGAATGATTCCTGCCAGATACTGCAGTTTGGAAGCTAGGGTCTGAATGGGCAGATCCCACAAATCTATATAGAAACACTTACTGCTGTTACAACAACAACAAATTATATTTATATAGCGCCTTTTATGTCGTGAGGATGTCCCAAGGTGCAGTTAATAGAGATTCAGTACTTGCTTTGCATAAAGAGACACGTGCAACGGACAGAAAGATGAAATTTATGTTGTAAACAAATACATTTATGGAATACAGCCAATAATTCAGTGCCTTGAGATGTCCTCTCGACGTGAAAGGCGCTACACAAATGTAATTTGTATTGTATGATTTGTATTGTAATAAGTAAATTTAAAAAAACTTTCAATATAACAAGCAAGATAATCATGTGATGCTCTGATCCGATTCAAATGTAAAGCGTGTGATTTGAGCACTGTGCATTAATTTAATGCATTTAATGTTTGGCATGTACTGGTATGTGAGAAAAGAGTTCATTGCAGAAATTTGACATTTCATGAGCCTGAACGTTAACAATTTAGTTTAAGGATACGGCAGCTCTTTAGATGCACAGCATCATGGGCAGCGTTTCAAGCAAAGGTGGAACATTGCCCTCGTTCACTGAATAGATCTCAACAGGAGATTGGATTCCAGTAGGAAAGGGGAACAAATTTGTCACAATAATCTTTTGGAGCAAGCATCAAGATTCACTCACCTGGAAAACGATTGAACGCAGAGCGGAGCATGGGTAATTTATAAAACAGTTTGCTCTTGTCTAAATAATCCCTTCAAACAATGAAAAAGAAATAAACAATAATAATAAAAAAAAGGTCACTCAATCCACGACTGTTTGTGGGACACCCCTGTGCACAATTAACTGCCGCGTTTCGCCTACAAAACATTCAGTCAATTCACTTCACCGTATATTCTGTGAAGCATTTTGAGACGCCTCGAAGACCGGATAAGACGCTATATCAAATGCAAGGATTATTATTATTATTAATAAACAATGTCGATATATTTTGTGGCTGAAAGGATTTTAATAGGTGGTGTAATTGCAAAGCCTTACAGAGCAGAAATTAGCTTCTGATCTGGATGGAACTTAATGCTAGTAAATATTTCATAATTACCTTCACTTTTCGGAAATATGCCATAAATCACATACTCCTGTAATGAGTGTTGGCAAGCAAGAGCAAAGAGAGCTCTCAACTGAGCTGCAGTTGCTAAACTGTTAGAAATAACCGTACCAGAATAATGTCATGTGGGATGAAAAACGATGGCAGAATAATATCTCTTGCTAAGAAGATGACAGACTGCTTTGTTCTGGTTTTTCAGAAACCCGTCACTCCAAGCAGAAACCATGCATAATTTAAGTGAGGAATGCACGCAAATAAGCATTTATAAATTTAAATATGAAACCCATTTCCCTGGAGGAAAAGACGAGGTGAACATACTGGATGAGCAATACGTTAAAACATAAAATGGCTGTGTCATTTTCTACTTTCAATGGTGCTTTTTGTATAGAGAGATTATTCAGCTGAGAACTTGCCTTATAAGTGCCCTTCTAATCCCTTACCATGTGTCATTTAACCACATTCACCTTCAGAAGAGGTTCAGATAGAATTCACACGAGTGAGTCTTTGTGTTACCGTCATTACTGAGACGCACAAACCAAATCTGTGCAATTTTAAAAAAAGCATAGTTGAAAGGTATGACTGGATTCCAATTGGGTTCCAATCGCAAGATTCAGACCCACTCAGGTCTGCTCAATTAGTCCTTATTGTAGCAAAGCTGCAAGAGTGACAGTAAGGAGGATATCTAGACTAAAACAGCCCCAAAATGTTTCGTTTAAATACTAAACCCTCTGAACTTGAACTGAAACCATAAGCAAAACCACAGGACTGTGGGTGACCACGAGGTTTCTAAACTGCACACAAGAACAACTTCTGTCTTAAATGTTGAAGGTTCAACAATTGCTCAGAATTGCTGAACTTACCTTGGGCAAGTCTCACCTCTCCTGCACACACTGACGTTTCAACAGAGCACTGCCCTTATGTGTTACTGCCTGCCCTCCACTGCTGCACTCAAGGGACACACTCCACGGTGAGGGGAGACTATATCAGCAAACTATTCAACCACAAGTTCAATCACAGCCAAGCCTCAACCCTGTCCACCTCCGACATGCTGGTGTGCTACTCTCCAGTAGAGGTCACTGGATAGAACTCGGGTACGGAAACCTCGACTGATATTCCCATCCTCAGCCCAGAAGCACTCAAGCCAGTTGTCGCTCTTCACAACTGCTGTCCTGATTGAAATCAGCTAACTCAACACGCAACATGATTTGAACCTGTCACTTGGACCAGCGCCTCGGGACATCTTCCCGACGCGAAAGGCGCTTTTACAAATGTAATTTTTATATTTTGTATTGTGTGACCTCGTGTTAAATCAGGTGATGCATTAATCCATCAGGCCTGAGAGAGCTTTGACAATGTGAATGCCAATTATAGCTCCGTGCATTAAAATAATTGTGGTCGGTGGGGTGGGGGATAACAGTTTAAAAAGTACCATGGTGATAAAAGCATAAACATCAGGTTAGGGATCACACCCAGTTCTCAGTACGCATGTAATTCCATTTAACTGCAGAACAAATTTTAAATAAGCAACCATCAAATAACAGTACAATTTATCCTCACAAGTATACTGACCAGCAGCAGTGCTTTTTACATAACATAAAAACTAAGAGTCGAACAGAATGAGTCATCTAAACCCTTATGTCTGTAATTGCAGCCTTTTAAACACATTCTGCTTCATATATCACCCCAAATAGTTTGCAAAAGTTTGGCTTTGTTCCCAGTTGAATTTTGGTGCTGAATGATGGAGAATGGATGTGATGTGCTATTAAAGCACTGGGCTTCCAGGCTGGGTGAGCTGCTCAGATGGAACAGACTGTAGCTCTGCAGCTAATATCCCAACCCTTTTTTTTTACCTGCTGAACATCTTGTTGGAAAACGCAGAGCTGAAGCCGTTGATGTAGCCGCACTTTGCGGTGTTGCCAGATACTCTCCAGCCTTCGCTGATGGTGCAACACCTCGTGTACGATGTCCAGCACTCGATGGACAGCCTTCGAGTAGTTTGCGGTGGCCGTGAGGGAATCGGAGTTGCCCGGGCTTAACGGCCTCTGCAGTACATCCAGCAGAGCTTTGCCGTCCTGGCTCACCTGCAACAAACAGGGTAACGTGTGACTGACTTGTCAGACAATGAAGAACAGGCCTGAAAATTAAAAAAAAGCCCCAAATATTTTAAGCTTTACCATTTATATATCACATCTCTGCTGGTTACCTGACCTAAGGTACCGTGCTCACAGGAGCTGCCTGAGGGAGTGTGATTGTCTTGTATTTCTTCATTGGTAAAACAAGCTGCTCTATGGGAGAATATTCCTCTTTATTGCTGATATAGATTCACCCTCAAAATACACGGTCAATTCACTTTACAGTACACCCTGTGAAGTGCTTTGAGACGTCTCAACAACATGCTGTATCACATGCTCTACTATGCAGAGGAATACAGATTTACAAGCTAAACTAGTTGGAAGGATCAAACTCTCGTGATCGTAAAAAGCTACGAAAAGGAACTCGATTGACATCAGTGTCAGATATTGATTTAGGAAAGAATACGAGGAGATCCACTGAACACGGCCAGAGGCCAAGGTCAGGAAATGATTCCATTCACAATCTGGATGAAGGCAAACAGCGAAACTAAGGAGAAATGCATCATTTTTTATTTTTTTTAAAAACTGCCTGGTGGAGTGACAAGGTGAAGATGATTGGCTCGATCGTAAGGTGAAGTGGTTCATGTAACTGTGTAAATCGAACACTTGCTTACTCACCTCTGCATATGCCTGGGTGATCTGTTCGTAAAGGGTTTGGTGATGGTGAATGGCAACCTCCAAATCTTGCATCTCACTTGGAAGTCCTCCCTCAGCACATGTCTTGCACCAGATATCAATGCTTGATAAATACTGAAATAAAATAGAACACGTCATCAGTGGTATGCTAGCAGGCAGCACTGCTCAAACATGTAGCTGCAGCGATGGAGATTAACTTCAGCTTCTTTACAGGATTACTTTCTGCAGTGATCCCCAGTTTTACGAGAATTTAAACCTCAACATTTCCTTTGGCCGAATTAGTTTCAACATAGTTCTGCTGTGTACTTATATCTCTGTAGTATCCACGACAGTTTGTGGGACACTGCAGTGCGCAATTGGCTGCCGTGTTTCTCCCACAAAATATACAGTCAATTCACTTTCCAATATATTCTGTGAAGCGCTTTGAGACGTCTCATGGATGTGATAAGGCGCAATATCAAATGCAGGAATTATTATTATTATTGTAATGCACGTTTTAAATAAGAATACTTTCCCTGATTTTTAAAGTTATTTATTTTTCTTGCGTATAAAATCTATCCCCGTGAGTTTGGTAACGTTTTCCAGGATTTGTGGATCTAATGAATAGACATCACTGACTATTAAGTGAAACGCTGAGACTAACATGTCTACCACCTCAGACATTCCTACAATGGAATTCCAATTTAATTCGACAATTGTACACCATATCAGGGCAATGCATAATTGCAATCGCTCTGACCACAACACTCCTGTGATAAAGTTTATCCTCTTTATCGATTATTATATGAACAAAAATATAGAATTTTCATAGTTTTACAATACATCTGGAAAATAATGCAAAAGAATACTATCTGGATTGTACTCTTGTGAAACAAAGCAAAACAAGGCAATCTCCCTTAAATTAAATCCACAATATCACTGAATAAGTTGAAACTATTCGAACCCTCAAATACAGGATTTCAAAGAGCTAAGAGTTGGAAAGATTCTGTAAATCAGAAAGCCAACGTTTTTTTTAAAAAATAGCTATTTAGCATTAGTGTTCATCAGTAAAACCACAAAGACAAGCTGATCCTATCCAGAGAGATTTACGCTCTGCAAATAATCATCCTTTGCCGATTCCAGGACACATGTGCATCGCTTTTTATCCTGTAACCCACCTGTTCGGCCTTCTGATGAAACACAGCAGACATGGCCAGAATGGTGCTGCGTTCATCCAGAGCTGCCGCAAAGCTCTTCCACTCTTGATCGAGCTGCACGGATATCTGCTTAATCTGCTGAGACGCATAATGACCGGCCTCTGAAAGCCTGGATGCGACGGACATGATGCGATTGATGTTGACATATGCGTTCTGAAAGTGCAGAGGAATGCCTGGTTACAAATTTAACTCAAGGAGTCACTTCACCACATCAATCCATCAGGGATGAAGCCAAACAGCTAAGATAGTAGGTCACCTTTCTAAAATATTCATCCCTGGTGAATCGTTCTTTACAGTGGATCCCAAAGAGCACTTTTCCTGTTTGTATGCAATTATAAAATGTCACTACAATGTGTTTTAAAATGAGTGGATCAATAGTCCTCTCCAGGAAACAATAGAGGGTCAGTAACAGAGTTTGTTTTACTCTTCTCATGTACAATATGACTGCGATGTCAATTCCCAACATTTTTCAATTCAAGCACAAGATGTTAACCTCACTTGCACAGAAAAAATCAGCAAGGAAATCAGTGATTGTATGTGATAGCCCCAAGCTTCATGTGTTGCTAACTTATATCTCGTGAAGTATTTTGTGAGTATCAGGTATTTTCGAAACGTTTCTCAGCAAACACAGATGTAATGACTTCTGTTGCAGCCAGGAGGCAGTTGTCAATTTCCCAATATTGCCAATATCATCCAATAAAATAACATTGAATGAATATTATTTCACTGAAACCGAGATTAAAACACCAAACGTATCTTTCATAGTTCAGCGAACTGGTCACAAAACATACTTCAAGACCCTGGCTGCACCATTGCCTACACAACTTCACATTAACATGCTCTATTTAATTCTCCACCTTGGGACAACAATTCAAACGTCAGCTGATGGGTATGCAAAAGGCCCAAATCAAGGGAGAATTAGACAGACTCGTGACTTAACATCAGATCACGGAAATTCAGTCTATCAACTCCCTTTCATAAGAAATTAGGAGTAACAGCCAGCAATTGAGAGAAAACAACACTCCAGCTTTCTGTAAACTTCATAAAAAGTTCAATCATAATCAGATACTCAGCCCAAACTATTTAAAATACACAGATATGAACTCAGATATTCTCAAGTGCTCTATAAATGCAAATTGTTGTTGCATAATTATTTTCTTGGCGGAATTAAGACTGGGGCTGACCACTGCTAATAAATCTGTCTATTTCTTTTAAGATACAGACACTTACCATTGAGTTCATGGCAAAGTGGTTGTGCTGGGTCTGCAGATCGAGAGCATGCTGGTAACTCACTCCGATCTCAGTGTGACTCTGCAGGAACAGTTCCTTATTGTGGCTGATCCAGTCGAACATCTGCACAAAATTACAAAATGTTGTGATCAAGTCTGTTCGTACAATGTTTTCCGAGCAGCTGCCTTGGTTCAAGTAAGAGAGACTGACTAAAGGGAGAGAGATAAAAGAAAAAGGAGAACAAGAACGAAAGAGAGAAAACAATGTAGCAGTTGCATTGGGTCGAATTGCACAGTGATGGAGTCAGTTATTTTGCTTCCAAGTGGAAAAACACCCAGGAAAGGGTCAAGACCAGCATCAGAAACGGTTTCTTCCACAATCCAAATGTCCGCGCAATGTGGAGCAAAAAAAAAAAAGTCTCTGGAAATTCTTTCCGAAATAACACGGATCGAGTGCCATTCCAACCCTTCCAATTTATTCTTTGCCCGAATCTGAACAGTAATCATCAGTGAAGGATCGGGTACAAGAATCCAATGTGAGACAGTCGGTAAACTCTTCCCAACAAACTCCACTGGTCCTTACACCAAAAAATGCGAAATGCCATTTTAAAGCAGATTACATAACATGCTACACAGGATACAAACAGCCCCCAACCGTCCTGGCTTTCAGCTCACAATGTGAGTGGTGCCCTTGACTAAGACACCAGGGAAGGTGCTCTTAAAGTACTAGGTATTTCCTCCTTGGAACATCCTCTGTTTTTGTACAGTTCGTGCTGACTAGATGCGACATCAAAAAGGCCTGGAAATAGCTTTGCTTTTTACCCTGCAGGGAGTGTATTTCATTGACAGAGGTGCCATCATTCAGATGAGATATTAAACCGAAGTGGATGTTAAAGATCCTGTTCAAAAAGTGAAGGGAGTTTCTCTCTCTCCTGGTGTCCTGGCCAACAATCTTCCAGATAAAAAAATGGTCACTGACTTCATGTCTTTGTGTGGAAACTTGCCTGGGAGCAAATTGGCTGCTGAGTTTGCCTATCAATAGGGGTTTTGAGACGTCTCGAAGATGTGATAAGGTAGAGTATCAAATGCAAGGATTATTGATATTATTTTAAAATATTAGTAATTCCGCCAAAGGCTTTTTGCACCTCTTAAAACAAACACTACATTAAAAATATTGCCACTTCAAGGTCAGCCAAGGGCAGATTTACTCTCAAATCTGTCTCTGCTGAATCCAAATTACTCCCATTACAGAAATCAATGCTACCTGCTGCTTTGAGTGACAGCAAACCCAGAAAATAATCAAGTCTGTTGGAATTTGGGTAAAAAAAAAGATCATTTAGAAGAGAAATTATAGCATTTCTGAAGCTGAACCTTTGATAATGAGAATTAAAATTACAGTATGTAAAAGTATCGAGTTCAGTCAATTAAAATTTGCATTCACAATCTTCATGGCCACTAAAACAACAATATTTCAAGTGATTACAATAGCTCATTTAAATTCAAGTTGACAGTCCTCCTAAGTCCTACAACATATGTACAGTACCACAATTTATTGGAATAATCTGTAAATTTATAACAAACAGGCCTTTCATTTTGTGCAATACAATAACTACAATTGTTTCTATGTCAATGTTACAAAGTTTCCTGCAGTTTCTTTGGGATTAATATTGCATTGTACAGCAGTGTGTGTGTGGGGGGTGGGGGGGTAGAGGGGGCTGAGGGTAGAGAGA